CTGAACTTGCTGTAAAAAGAGATAATCGATAGTTATTGAAATGCCTATTGGCTGTACTTCAGCAAGTATACCGTAGACGATTCTTAATTACAGCAACAAGATTATGCAAAGGCAAATGTTGCTAAAGAATCTTTTTATATTCTTAATGGAGTTTTTGCAAAACTAACATGGGACAGCTCATAGAAAACTATGAAGTAACGCTTGAGTGTAGGAATAGAATGAAATGGAAATCTTTTTTAGCACAATTTATGGCGCAGCTAGAGAAATGTCGACTTACACAACGACGAAAACGCCAAAAACTATTCGTGCATAGCTTTACAAGAAAGGTATGCCGGAGGAGAGAGTAAACATCAGTTTGAAAATCATGCCATATGTATTAGAGCGTTAATTAACAATACAATCTCTAAAAAATTGATTTCTTGGAGGAAAATATTGCCAGATGTGCAGAGGTTAATGGGTCCACATAAAAATAGTTTTCTCTCGTTCATAAGGCAAGTTTTGGAATAGGTAACATGGACCAGCTAGCCTAATCAGTGGCGAGCCGTGGAAGTAGCAATATAAAGAGGAACACTGATAAGAGAAAAGACGCCTGGAAACTTATCACGAATATTAGCGCCCATTTGAATCACATTTACAACCCATCCTGAGTCATTATCTGCTATTTTTCCACCTCAGCAAAAAAGCGATACGAAGAAACTACGATGTAGCTCATAGATGCAGAAAAAGTGAAGAGGAATGCGTTTTTTCGAACACTTACCCTCTTGGCCGTGGTCGAGAAGCACGTATATTTGCTTACGGCGTACTCGACGACCTTCTGCTGTTCCAGCTCACGTAAAAATAAAGAAATTTTGGTGGAGTACAGGGCTGCTTCCACGTAGAACGAGCCAGTAAAACGTGTTCAAACAGTTTCAATTTTCTTTAGGAAATTTAAAGTAACAAGGGAAAAACGTTTAGTTAAATTTCCTTTTACAGGGTACACTCTGCTGAACTCAAAACTAAAAATCTGTCTTCTATGTTAGAAACATTTCCATGGAGGAGGTTATGAATAAATTTTTGCGGAGGAATTAGTTCTTGTCAATAA